GGGCCATCTTAGTATCATGGTTATCGGTAGGTATATTTTTCTATGGTGATTTTTACTTATCATTACGAGGGCACTTTAGGCAGCTTGATGATAATATTCTGTTTCTAGGTTTATTCACTATTAACACGAAGGCATGAATACTTATTAACTTTCGAGATTGTATGCGTATACCTTGCAGGCAAGTTTCAACCGGCGTTGGCCGAATACCAGGCCCTTCGATTATGAAATAGCATATTGGTTTAGAGTCCTTGGCCCAGTGGGCTTGTCCAGCCAGAAATTCCAGTTTTATCGTTACCCGCCTTGAATGGACAATCGCCTGTAAGCACGTCTTTTGAAGCAAAATCAGTTTTAACTCTTTTCCCGCTACCGTTTAGCATGAAGACAGCTGATAGTTCACATGACTACACTACAGCGTACATCATTATTTACTATTACTCATTACAGTTCTACATGCAACAATTTGCCTATTTGCATAGTATATGATACTCCGCCACGAGACATCCTTGATTCCACATGATCCACACATGATCCCTGCGCGACGAGACAGTGCGTTGGGATGACCAGTCACATTGCAATAATCTTATCTATCTCTCTCTCTCTCTCTCTCTCCTCTCTCTCTCTCTCTCTCTCTCTCTCTATATTATATATTATATATTATGATATATATATATATATGAGTATATATATATATATATATATATATATATAGTATATATATTATAGCAATAATAACTACAACAATGTCATTGAAGAGCTAATAATGATTTAACAAACACCCGCACAAAACCTACAAAAAATCGTCCAAAAAAAGCTCCGCTGTCAGGGCCACGCCCCAGTTAAAACGGGTTGCGCATTTCCTGTTCTTCTTCGCTGTATTAGACCGACCCCTTATTCACGAAGATTCCGAGCCAAATTTCACCCCTTATTTCAGGGAAATCACGAGGCTTTCTTTTTATTTAAATATATATGTGATTAATGTAAAGTTTAAGCCCTCTCCCCTTAGTCGAGTGAAATAATCAGTTATACTTATTGAATAAGTTATCTGGTAAGTTTCACGCCGACCGCGAACTTTGTAAAAAAAACTGTTCCTATCAAATATTAGAGGTTTGGTAATCCACCCGAACGGCGGGCGGAGTTATCCCTGATCAGCCCTATGTTATTGGGCCCTCGAGACATCATGAGAGATTCAGGGTCATGCAAGAGACAACGCCAAGAAACAACATGCGAGGATCCAGCGAGAGAGGCCAACAACCTACCGTCCACGCCTGACATTTGGTGCTCTAACTCGCGCAAGTCAATCTTCGCGCGGAATATAATCTGCTCGTTTGTCTCCTTGAGCTTTGGCAGGCGAACACCTGGGAAGGATTGCGCTGATCGGACGAGTAGCGTCACCGGTAATTCGTCGGCGCTGATCACGAGATCGCGCTTCAGCAGCTGCTAAGGCCGCCAGTAACAGTCGCCTGAAGTAACGCAACATCATTTTCGATGCTTCATGTGCGATTCTTAGCTTTCAGTATGCGAGTGGCGAGGAGATTGTCGAGGGTGCGGAATAAAAGGCACAAGCATATAGGAAGACGATGTTGCCTGTCTGTCTCTCGTGTCTATCTGCTTCTGTCTGTTTGTCTGTTTGCCTAGCTGTTTTGTCTGCCTGCATGCCTTCCTGCCTGCTTGCCTGCCTGCCTGCCCTGCTTGGCTGCCTACCTTTGTCTGTTCTGTCTGTCTGTCTGTCTGTCTGTCGTGCTCTGTCTGTCTGCGTCTGCTGTCTGATGCTATCTGTCTGGTCTGTCTGCGTCTATCTGTCTGATCTGTGTGGCCTGTCTGACTTTCCGGTCCGCCCTCCGCTTCGTCCTTCCGTCCGGCTAGCCGCATTTATATGCGACATTGATCAATTGCTTTTGGAATACGTATGTTTAAAACGATACTGCGAATTTGGTCTGACTTTGATCGCCTGACTGATAGTTCTTATTTCCGTCCTTCACTTTGTACGCCACCACACCGGTGTAGAGGTGCTTGTTTGATTGTCGCAAGTTGACTTCGACGGTCGCGCACGCTTGCCTCGACGTGGTTTTTCAACTACAAAAATAATAGTGGGCTCACGCCTGTCAATTTTATTTTTAGGTTTTGTTTATGGCGGGAATGTTCTTTACGTTTATCGCTAGTCCTTGCTATAAAAGGAACACGCATCTGCTTATTAATTGGCGCTCGGCCACATTCCAACGTGTGAAATGCGTTTACGATACGGTAAAACTGCGCGCTGTAACAACCGTCGCGTCTGCCAACAAGTATTTTTTCAGTCTGACAGCTACAATTAGACGCGAAGCTTCCAGCGTAATAATACGCTTGATGCTGACATGAATGCAGAGTGTAGGATAGCCGTCTGCTATAAAAGATACCCCGTGTATTAACCAATGAGAGAGGGCAGGAGATTAAGACTAAAAGAGAAGAGAAAGGAGAGGCGAGAAGTGGAGCGATAAACGAGGAACGAAAATGTAAGAGAGATATAGTGCAAGCAACAGGGGAAGGGGAAGGGAAGAGACTCGGCCTGTTAGGAGAGACAGCGGAGATAGAAGAGGGATAGGATGAAAACGGGATAGGACATCAGAGCTTCGAAAGCAAGTTTTTGTTTTGACCGGATAGATCAACTGGATCCTAGAAGCGAATCCAAGCCTTTAGAACATATGTGAAAAGTTTAGAGGGCCAATGAGCACATTCGTCCACTGTCCTCCAACGCAAATTCCACAATCCTCCGAACATCCTGTCGCTCCTTCCGTATGCTTGGCAGACTACTGCTGTCCCGCACCTGGAGGCATTCAGAAAGGCATGTCATCTCCTTCAGCGGTGAACGCTGTAATAGATCCCGCTAACTCCTTTAGCCACTGCTGACGCAGAATCCGCCTACTCCTTATTAGCTATGTACGCCAGATCCCGCCTACTCCTTTAGATATGTATAACAGGTGCCTGCTTACTTCTTTAGCTATGTTACACAGTGCATGGTACTCCTGTAGCTATGTTACACAGAGCGCCGCTACTCCGTTTACTATGTTACACAGTGGCCTGCTACTTATGCCTTTACCACTGTTTCCACAGATCCGCGCTACTCTTGTTAGCTATGCTTACACAGAACCCGCTTACTCTGTTAGCTAGTGCTTACACAGGGCTCGCTGCACTCCTGTAGCTAGTTACACAAATCCCGCTACTCTTTAGTGCGTATGTTTACACGCAGGGCTCGCTACTCTGCTAGCTATTTGTTACACAGATCCGACTACTCCTGTAGCTATGTCCTACACAGCGATCCCGCTACTTCCTTTAGGCGTTGTTACACAAGATCTCGCTACTCCTTTAGTATGTTACACAGAGCTCGCTACCCTCCTTAGCTAGGCGTTACACAGATCCGCTATTCCTTTAAGCTGATGTTACACAGATCCCGCTACTCCTTTTAGCTATTTATACACAGCGGCCCGCCTACTCCTTTTAGCTCATGTTTACACAGCATCCCGGCTACTCCTTTAGCTATTGTTACACACGATCCGGCGCTTACTCCTCTGGCCTAATTGTTAACAGCAGAATCCCGTATCCTTAGCTATGTTACACACGACCCGGCTACTTCCTCTGGACTATGTTACCAGCAGATCCCTGCCTTACTCCTTTAGCCTATGCTCACAGATTCCACTACTTTTTTTAGCTATTGTACACAGGGCCTGCCTACTCCTGTAGCTAATGTTACACAGATCCTGCGTACTCCTTTAGCCTATGTCTACACAGGGCCCGCTACTCCTGTAGGGCTATCGTTACACAGCATCCCTCTACTCCTGTAGCTATGTTACAACAGATCCCGCTACTCTTAGCTATTGATTACCAGATCTCGTACTCCTTTAGCTATGTTAACAAGAGCTCCGCTCTCCTCCTTTAGCTAGGTTACACAGATCCCGCGTATTCCTTTAGCTATGTACACAGATCCCGCTACTGCCTTTATAGCTATGCTTACGCAAGGGCTCGCGACTCCTTTTAGCTATGTTACACAGATCCCGCTGACTCCTTTAGCTATGTTACACAGATCCCGGCTAGACTCCTGTAGCTATATGTTACAACAGATCCTCGCTTATTCCTATTAGCTATGTTACACAGATCCCGCTACTCCTTTAGCTATGTGTTACGCAGGGCCCGCTACTCCTCTTAGCTATGTTTACACAGAATACGATTCCTTTAGCTTGCTTACACATCCCTCCTTAGCTTATCGTTACACAGATCCGCTACTCCTGTACGGCTAGTATGTTACACAGAATCCGCCTACTCCTTTAGCTATGCTAATAGATCCCGCTACTCCTTTAGCAATGCTACGCAGATCCCGCTACTCCTTTAGCTATGCTACACAGATCCCGCTACTCCTTTAGCAATGCTACGCAGATCCCGCTACTCCTTTAGCTATGCTACACAGATCCCGCTACTCCTTTAGCTATGTTACACAGATCCCGCTACGTTTAGTTTCACTATATAAGATCACTTATGACCGGCGCACACGGTGAGATTCGTGCTGAGCACGGAGCGTGAGTTTCGTGCTTAGCAGGAATCTCACACCCCCGCACACGGTGAGCTATGTGCTGAGCACGGATCTTACGAGCGGGTGACACTGTAGGTCATGTGACTAATCAATATTGCAGAACCAATGAAAATGCACCGTCACTGAGTGAGAACCAATCATAAAGCGCCGCCACTGAGTGAGTGCGAGCAGGAGTCTCACATACCCTTAGTCCCTGATTCCTTCACAACCCTCACACGCTGAGTTTTCAGCCTCGCGAGACCAAAATTATCAAACACGACAGATATTTTCCTCACCGCCTCGCGAGACCGAAAACTCACATAAATCGACCAGGTGAGATTCCTTAACATGCAGATGGGCTATATATGGAACGTTCTACAATCAGCTATACTGGACTCTACTAATCCATCTACTGTAGTATAGACAGTCAGTTAGTAGCAATGCATCTAAATAGGGGGCTTACGGTCCTTTGGCTTGTAGCTGTCCGTCAGGTCCATCCGGTCATCGTGATTGTCGGTCAGTGGCCCAGGTCGCTTTGTACTGATAAGTTTTCCAACACTAACAACATAAAATCGACTTTCAATGCAGCAGCGACAAATATGTGATGTCGCGAGTGGTGTGGAGTGGACTAAATTCATGTTACTTACTAAAATTATAAAACATACAAACGATGCACGCTTTCAGATACAACAACAACTCGATTAAATTATCAATAAAATACAATGTATACATACATATGCTTGCTTGTGTGTGCATGCGTGCGTGCGCGCGCGTGTGTGTGTTCGTGTGCGTGCGTGTGCGCGCTAATACATTATATACATAATAGATTATACATACACTTGACCGTATGATCTTAGTTTGACCATTGGGCAGTTTTCTCCCTTATAGATCCAGTGAACGACATCAGCGTTGACTTCGGCGAATATGAATGGAGCGTCGTACATCTGCCCCACTTCACCTCGCCTAATTGCCGCAACAGAGGCCGGGCCAGCGCGGTAGACACCTGCAGCACGAATATATATATATATATATATATATATATATATATATATATACTCATTAATTAATTATATATATATACATATAGGTTTAGTGCAGTAAGTATAGCATGCAAACACTTACAGCGAGAGCAGTTTCTCATACCGGCATTTGTTTGCCGTCTGCTATCAAGTACTTTTGTGTATACATACAAAGCATGACACTAAAAAATAAATACATAAAACATAAATAAACATAACATAAACATATATATATATATATATATAATATAAACATATATAGTATATGCAAAGCATATTACTAGCATACATGGGTTAATTCTCATATAGTACTTGGTATTAGCTAAAACGTGGCGCTTCTATGGTTACTTATGATCACGAAAACGTCCATTTAATATCATCAATTTAAATTTAATTAATTTAAATTTTTTACAAACCTGCCTGATAAAGGGAATAAAAACACATGTATTAAACCTAGTAACTTGTGTCAGTTTTGCACAGTCTCTTCATTCAGTCTCATCTTTTTTAAACAGCTTTACCCCTGTTATCGTAAGTAGCGTAATGATAAAAGTTTAATCACGTTAACCAATTCATTATAGGCACGCCCATTTTCAAGTTGAAATCGGCCTCGTTCATTTTACTGGACTTACTATGTCAGAACGCTAATTTTAGTTGTAATACCTTTAGGTAAGCAGTCGATGTTAAAATAATATTGTTTAGCAGGTTTTCTTCGTAAAAATACGCGGGAAAAAATTTAAAAATCTTGAGAAAAATCGTAAAAAGTTGGCAATAGGTCATGAAAGGTTACCATCGCTAGCCTCCTGTGGTGTCGCATCTAATGCTTGCCAGCCACCGTAGCCCTTAGGTAGATCAGGGCGAGCCATCCAAGCCTCATTCCACACATGGAAGTTCCTGTCATAAACAAACATTATAATGAGCAATCATCGTTTTCTGGCCTATTATAGATATGTCATTAGTTTCCGTCTTGTCTATAAACAGAAGTCATAAACATCGTATAATTATGTAAGTAAATAAAACTTCGGATGAGTTCGTTTGGTAATATTGTTGATTTTAAACATGGTTTACGTAAATTTATATATAACAGGAGTCGTCACAGGACGCGTTATTGTGTAGATGTACTGAATAATTTTATATGTGAGATTCCATGTGGCGAGAGTATGTGTATGGAGCCCCATCCGACCGTACTCAAATGACGTAATATATGAGTTGACGTATTTAGAGATAGAAACGGCAGATTTTAGAAAAGAACATCTCAACAAGTCAACATAGTAACCATGACGTTGAGCGCATGACAATAGTGCCTGTATAATCTCCGGCTATACTACACAAAAATGGTGTGGACAAATACGCCAGGCGCGCCACCTAGTGCGCACCAGATGCTGTCGACGTTCATTTCCTCAATGGTGTCCAGCTCTTCGTTGAAGTGCACGTCGACGGTGATATTCATGTTGCTGTCGTGCGCAGACGCGAAGTTAGTGACGCTGCGACAAGGGATGCCGAGCGCGCGCATCACTGCAACCAATCAGAGATTCACAATACGAAAGCTTGTGAAATTATACCAGATTGGCACGCAAATAGGTTAAAATCTTGAACAAATAAGGCTAAACGCGAAAGAACTTGCGCTCGTTGGTTGAATGACTGTAAATTATTGAGAGGTTGCGGTACTGACCACTGGTGGAAACACCGGAGAACACCCAACACTGGCCGTACATGACGGCTTCCTTGGTCGTGAACCACTGCTGCAGTATCTGCACCGATCCCTGCCACTCCGTGGGTGCGGTGCCTCCCATATACTCTCCGCTCCAGTTACCCGCCAATACTCCGTTATCGTCAACGTCGTTCACCTACAGCACAGTAGCTAGAGCAGTTAATAAACTCTCTAACTCACGTACGCACTCACATACGCACGTACGCAGGCACGCACACGCGCGCGCGCGCGCACACACGCACACGCACGCACGCAGAAAACGAAGGAACGCGCGCACGTACGCACGTACGCACGCAGGCACGAGCACACGTTTGGCTGAAAACATATAAGGAACTAGCTGCGGGTACCCGCTGCGCTGGGTAAAATCGTGCTACTAATTCATACTACTAATAATGGGAGACAATGAGAACATTGGGTAAAAATCGACAATAACATTGCACACAATATCAATATTTACAAATCAGTCTAATAAGATAATAAGCATAGGGAAAAACTGTTGCGTATGACATTTATATGACAGCACAACCCAACTTAGAACCCCTGGGACATAATAGTAATATCGTGTAAATGACAAAAAGTTATTATAACAGCATGTACGAATGGGTTGCACTTTTCATTTCAAAGCCTCTTGATAAACAATGTTTTTCGTGTTATTCTCTGGTGCAAATATGTAGAGATTCCTGGCGTCTGCAACTCTTGAGCTCCCCACGTACAGCTATCCATTGTGAGATCGTACCATGAATAAAAGAAATTCCATATATAGTATAGATAGAGACAGGCCAGCAAGTGGGGTCTGTGTCCACTTGATATTGTCTAGTGAATGGTTGGCGCGCAACCATGCACATTGAAATTAAGAAATTTTTCTACTGAATCAGAAAATGCATAGCTTTCGAATGGTACAATGCATTCTGAGATCGTAGCATGTGAACTCAACCTCTCAACTCAGTGAGTAGTACCTCTGAACTGGTCCTGGTTGTGCTCTGTTTTAGTATTGGTTTCGGTTTCACAATACCAGCAGCTGATGAGGTGAGGGAAAGAAATAGTCATCGATTTTTCTGTGTGTGGCAGCACTGTACAGTGAGTGCTGACATTGTGTGAAGTTTCACGAATTCACGGATTTTTGACGGATTTTTCGGTGAGTTTCACGGTTTGACAGATTTTTTTCGTCTAGGAACACTCCCCGGGTATAGGAAATCGCCCTCTGAAAATTGCATCCAGATCGCTTGGGCGGTTTGACCGGCCATAGGGTACATACATACATACATACAAGAGCGTATAAAGAAGGGCCTCTTTATCTGCTCTTGATACATACATACGAACTCAAATATAGATTAGATACATAATGATGCAAAACTACGGAAGCCGCTTAGTGCCGGCGCGGACACGTTTTTCGCAGCCGGCGCCGTCATGTTTTTCGCAGCCGGCGCGGTCACCTTTTTCGCTAATTTAAAACCTCATTTCTTTTAAACCTTACAAAAAAAACAAGGCCGCGAGCGCGCGAAACACAGCACCGCGAGCGAGCGAAAACACGGCGGCGGCGGCGAGCGAGCAGAATCGGCGCGGTCGCCTTATTCGCAGCCGGCGCCGTCACCTTTTGCGTCGTAGCCGGCGCGGTCACCTTTTTCGCACCGCGAGCGAGCGAAAACACGGCGGCGGCGGCGGCGGCGAGCGAATAGAATCGGCGCGGTCGCCTTTTTCGTAGCCGGCGCCGTCACGTTTTTCGCGAGTAATGATGACGACGTCGACGACGAAAAACGTAACCGTGCCGGCTGCGAAAAAGGTGACGGCGCCGATTCTGCCCACTCGCCGCCGCCGCCGTGTTTTCGCTCGCTCGCGGTGCTCTTTTTTAGCCTTGTCAGGGCGAGTAATGATGACGACGTCGACTAAAAATGACGACGTCGACTAAAAATGACGACGACGGCGACGACGAAAAACGTGACGTCGCCGGTTGCGAAAAACGTGACCGCGCCGATTCTGCTCGCTCGCCGCCGCCGCCGCCGTGTTTTCGCTCGCTCGCGGTGCGAAAAAGGTGACCGCGCCGGCTACACAAAACGGCGCCGGCTGCGAAAAAGGCGACCGCGCCGATTCTGCTCGCTCGCCGCCGCCGCCGTGTTTTCGCTCGCTCGCGGTGCTGTTTTAGCCTTGTCCGGGCGAGTAATGGTGACGACGACGAGTAAAAATGACGACGACGACAACGAAAAACGTGACGTCGCCGGCTACGAAAAACGTGACGGCGCCGGCTGCGAAAAACGTGACCGCGCCGTCACTAGGCGGCTTCCGTACAAAACCTACCGTTACAACCAACAAAAAATGCCTACCATTGCAGAGATTGATCGGATGACTTGCGCAGCGTTGCCCCACATCGACGGATCCAGCCCAGACTCTTCTACGACCCTCAGAGCAGCATCGAGGATCATGTCTTCAAACTGCAGTAAGCAATCGCAACAGTTATAACGTGGACAGAATTACGGAGTGATGCAGGGTGAAAACATGGGAAGGATATAGAAGTGGCCGAAGAATAGAAGTGTACGTGCGTGCGTGAGAGTGTATGCGTGTGTGCGTGTGTGCGTGTGTGCGTATGTGCGTGTGTGCGTGTGTGCGTGTGTGCGTGTGTGCGTGTGTACGTGAGTGTGCGTAGGAGTGTGTGTGTGTGTGTGTGTGTGTGTGTGTGTGTGTGTGTGTGTGTGCGTGTGTGTGAGCGAGAAAGAGAGAGAGCGCGCGAGAGAGAGAGAGAGAACGAGAGCGCGCACATGGGAGAGAGATAGGGGGGCGATAAAGAAAACAAGCAAGAGAGCGAGCGCGTGAGAGAGTGGTAGTGGTTATACACAGATAACTGGTAACACATAATTGATGTACCTGCCCAAAGTTCCATACACGGTAGCGCATTCTCTTCGCGGATCCACACCAGATCTTGCCCAAGTCATTCAAGACATATTCTTCTTTTTCCTCATCACTTGCCATGTACGCTTGATCATCTAAAAAAATTATTGTTTTGATTTAGGATTATGTGTGCAATTATTCTGTGTACGGGCACGTTTAGTTCATGTCTGTAATGATAACTTATTGCATTCGCAAACAAAGATTTTCTATGAAAAGAAAAAAAACGTATGATGAACGTCGTAGCGATTTTTTTCTGATGCTTTTCTCAAATTTCTCGCACAAAGTAGCGTGGACGTTTCCTGGATGCAATAACAATGTCATCTGTCTAAGATAGATACTGACCTTTGCACCATGGATTGAACAAAATGCAGACAGACTCCTTTTCGTTGAAGACTCTTGTCTTTTTAGTAGCCTTAAAAATTCCAAGTAGGCCTAAGTGTTAACTAGCATGCATTAAAGGGACATGATTTAATCTAATAATAGTTTGCGTATGTGTACTTCTCATTTCTGCTGACGAAGAACAACATATAACACAATGAATACAAAGAATATAGCACAACGGACATAACATTATCATAACCCCCAAACTAGCTATTTAATGTTATATGTGTAATATGCCAGTAACATTTATAATCTAATTTGAACCAAAATTGTTTTCAAACTACAAAAAAATAACAGACATTGGTAGAAATCTATATAACCCATAATGCCTAAAGTTCCTTGCTTCGTGATAACAATTCATACACTTGGAAAAATTTTCGACATTAGCGTAATACTTTCAGCGTGATACGTCACGGTCACATATTGCGATACTTCACTGGTTTATGGTGTGATACGTCATGACTACTGTATAAGCTGTATATTTCGCGGTGGTTTAATTTTCGCGAATTTCGCGAACGCGTCCCCGACCGCGAAAATAACAACACGCGAATAATGCATACCGCATGATACCGAATAATGCATAATTCACCGACCGCGAAATTAACCACTCGCGAAATTGTCCGTCAAGTCTGAATTCGCAAAATTATCTGTACGCGAAAAATACGGCTTAAACAGTACATGGCGTGATACGTCATGATTACACAGTAAGATGGGTCACGGTTACATCGTGTAATACGTCATGGCTACTTCAAGTATCTTCTACCTTAGACTCGGTGATGACGCTGAGCTTCCAGCGACCGACGGGGCAGTTGGCGGCCGGCATCACCTCGATCGTCTGCGTGTTTCCGTCCGCGAACAGAACCTTGGCTGACCACTAAGAAATAGACGCACACTCACATTGTATTGACATAGACTCACATTGGACAAACACATCAAGGCATCAGTAACTCGCGACGTCGATACGCCGCATAGTTCAGCTAGGCAAAGTTACGGAGTAAGTATATGAAAAGAGTGCCTCGTGGAAATACAACTTCCCAGCGACGTGGAGCGGCGCACGAGTGAAGTGGAAAATTTAGCGCGCCGCAGAGTTATACTTACTTAAATACCTTAATAAAATTATTTACTTAAAATTTACACTAACGAGACGATAGGGAGCGTGAATGCTCTAACGTACTCACTATGTAGGCTAAACAATTTATTGAATACCTCTTTATTTCCGAGATCCGGCGCATTCGGCTTCCTCAAGTGAATTAGCATTCGGGTCCTCACAGCATTTTTTGGTTTCGGACCAATGTCGAACCTCAGTCTCATCACGTTTTTTTTTCGCTCAAATTTCTGGTCAGTCGTGATCTGTAGCGATTGATGTACAACATTATTGTGTTCATTGAGGAAATGACCAGTTGAGTCACAAAGGTTGCGTTCTCAATGGATTTGCGTATTAATTACTATTATAATGTACAGTTAGTCAGTATAACGTAATAACTTACTACTACTATACTATTGTAATGTAACTAGCGCTGGCGCGCCCCAGTAAACTGGATACATTGCTACATGGTTGCCCAGTTGCTAGTTGCGAAGCATTGTTGTTACATATTGTGATATCGTGGAACGCCGTCCCTCGTTGTAGCCACGCGCGCCCCGGGATGAGGGACAACAGATCATGGATGCGCTGTCGCTGGAGTGACCAGCTAGTGACAACCGGTCGGATTGAAAAACCGTTCGACCTGCCTTTGACACGGTATATATCTAATACCCCGTACAGACTGCAAAATTTGATATGGTATTAAACTAGCGCGCGCCAGCCCCGTAAGACGTGGTGGAGGAGATGACAGTAACAGATACGGAGAAAGATCGAGATACGGAGAGGAGACGGACAAGATGTAGTCCTAGTAGGTAGTCTGTAGCAGGATGTATATTATATATATATATATATCAATATATATGTGTGTATGTGTATGTGTGTGTGTGTGTGTGTGTGTGTGTGGTGTGTGTGTGTGGTGTGTTGTGTGTGTGTGTGTGTTGTGTGTTGTGTGTGCGTGTGTGTGTTTAGGTTTACTATTAAAGTCACCATCGTTATATATCGTATCAAGAGCGTATGAATACGCTCTTGATCGTATCTATACAAGTCTCACTATACAGTGTATACACCTCTACGACTGCCGCAAGCTCTCGTGCACGCTACATACCACGGCAAGCCCTATAGTATCTCTACTCTCCTGCGACTGCAAGATACTGAAGTTATCAACCTTACGGAAGAAAACACCAGTACAATACTACTACTGCTACTGCTACTGCTACTGCTACTGCTACTGCTACCGCTACTGCTACTATACTACTGATACCGATACTGCTACCGCTACTGCTAATGCTACTGCTTGTGAAACCAATCAAACCAATTACCGCAACGTTTTAAGAGAAAAAAGCAGCGGATAGCAGACGAGCGCAGTTGTACATTCTTGGCCTAGCTGACAGTGCAATAATAGGGCTATGTCATTTTTAGTGTGAGAAGAGTGGATGCTACACAGTTGCACGGTCAGCAGATGCGATGGCTTACTACTATTTCAAGCACGCAGACAAAATTTCCCGACACAGCTTTGGTAACAATTTCCACGTGCGCCACTGCGTGTACGCGCGTGCGTGCGTGTATGCGTGCGTGCGGGCATTAGTGCGTGCATGCGCGCGTTAGTGCGTGCGTGTATCCGTGGATTCGGTGGAATATAAACGCAGAACTTCAAAATAAGCAGTCGTATTAGTCGGAACATTTGACATAAACCAGCAGTCGTAAATACAACGAAGATGATACGAGTGTGTCTAGTCGTCGCTTCTACCGAAACAACCGAGATAAGATTCTTCAACTTAACACTATACTCCGCGGCGCAAAAATGCGACTATTTTAGTAAACACTCGCCGATGAGTGAATAAATATTTTGAACTTCAATGCAAACAACTTCTCGTAAACATGGCGTTAACGTCGTGGAGATCATCTCACGCGTCGAGTGACGGTGTCCGAAAGCAAGCATTAGGGAGAACGGTGTTAGCTGCAGTGGTGGTAATCGTGTCTAGGCTTTACGACTGGCCTATACGTGATGTTGTGAACTGATTTTATTCATCATTTCTAGAATAAACACTGAGAAGTAAAAACACGGTGATATCCCGTCGATTCGCCGCGAGTAGTAGTCTGGCAATGTGCGAAACTGATGAAATCAAGATGAAATGCTTTCAGCAATGTGCTGATGTAATCAATGTGCGTGATTCTATCCTTGCTAGTTCGATTCTAATTCATGCTAGTTCAATACCTTCAAGGTGAACGGTTGTCCGCGCCTGACCACCGGACGGTTGTCTTCCTGGACAGCGTTATATTGATAGGTATGGTGTCCAGTGCCATTAGTTTTTGTTTCCCACTCCACGGTCAGCACTGCCGGAATGGAGCTGTCTTCTCCTAGAACCGAATATTGCGGCATAATTGTGTTAACGTGTAACGCACGCCGAGGAATAAATTTACATGATCATCGTTTTCAAATAGACACACTACTATTTCTCTCCGTGGGAACCCCAATTTTATAATTAACTGTATTATAATTGAAATTTTATTAATTGGTGTTTCTTAATACTATGGTATTCACTTTGTACTCCAGGTATTAGCATCTTATATATCATAATATATATAATAATATATATCAATACATATAATCAATATATTCATATCAATATATCAATCTAATAATTATATCATAAATGCATTAACATCTAATATATTTTATGATATATACATGAATACATAAATAAATTTCTTAATAAATACATAAGAAAATATTTTCAGGTACACATGCAAGTACAAAATCGCCGTGAACTGTGTAGTTGTTGCGTACACGCACACGCTGTGCACGCACGTACGTACCTACCTGACACGACTTGTTTCGCAGCAACTGCAGCAGCAGCAGCATCTACAGTACCCGCCGCTACGAACATGAAAAACACATCTGTGTAAACGTTTATGCGCATCTAGCTTCATGCTCACCGTGCGAGACCGCTGACAGCAATCGTAAACCGAAAAGTAGCATCAATCAAAAAATGGTCAGTACAGGCTTTTTTGGTTTAAAGTTAATGATGACAGGCAGGCTTCCGAAATGTCGATCGTATGCAAGATCTCACTGAATAGGTTATATCTGATTATAAAATTCACTTCCTACACGACTATATCACAGATCCATATTCATAGCAATGGGTCAAACATGTATGGAAAGAAACATGACTATCAAAAACCACTCACCAGTATAAGGAATCAGCATAATGTATTTAATACAGCTAAAACCCTGCATGCGTATACCCAGGATTAATGTTAGATATACCATCTATATATATAGGTACTTCTATCTAGGTAGTTCTTAAACATGTTCTGCACACATAATATAATAACGCATCACTCTGAAACAGTAATGACTAACAGTATCGATAGCTTGTCAAGATCCAGTGATCTTCACGAACATTAATTTGTTGAAGAAAGTTTATCGGCTGCGCCGCACTTACGTTTACGGCCAATCGAAAGCCTTTCTCTCCGTGGCATCTCGCAGGCCTGGTCGTATAGAGGAACGACGTCGTTGTTTCACTGTTGAGAGAGATTTACGTAATTGAAGAAATTGTATAACATACAGTCGTATGAGCCATTGTTCTACCTTCTCCCTCCCTTTCGGCTCACCTGCGTTCTGTGGCCGCAATAAGAGCTGTCTTGACAAAACACCCACAATCATCTACACGCTGAGAAACCCGCGAATAACACGCACGCGCGCAGCGTCACACCCAAACGGATATAACAAGCAGCAAGCACGTCCGCACGCACGCACTCACTCACGTATACTCAAATACACAAACGCTTGCATGCGCGCACACACATACACACGCGCACACACACGCGCGCGCACACGCACGCACACACACACACACACACACGCACACACACACACAACACGCACACGACACGCACACGCACACGCACTGCGCACGCCGCAGACGCAACGCACGCACGCACACACACACACACACACACACACTAATCGTTAACACTTTTTAGTATATAATACATTAGCAGGAACAAATGCTCAAGGCTAATTGTAAATCGTATTTCGATGTGCTCGAGATACATGCACGAATTGATTACCGGTTATAGCGAGCTGTTCTAACCAGTTAATTAACATGAAATTCACTTTATACCGGTTTAATATATAAGGGCTATCGCGTGCGAAAACAGCACAAGGTCGTTTTACCTCTGGGTTTGAAAAAAGAACACCAAAAAGAAGCTAAAGGAAAATTTTCGTGTAAATGAAATCTTTCTGTTACGTAGAGAAGCGAGAACTTGAAATTGTGCAGGCATTAGAAGGAATATGTTACTAGTTTGCGTGATTCGCTGGTGACTTTCTTACAATGCCTCACGCGAGATGCTTTGCGCAACGTCAGCGCCATGAGCACTATACCTCACACGTAGCCACCACACCAGATGCTCTTTATTTAATTTCCACGTGGTGTTTTGCATTGTGCATATTTGACGATAAACAAATTACCGGCAACCTTGAGAAAACTTTAATTCATTCGCGAAACTCATTCGGAAATGAAAATTTATTTTCTTGGTGCTTAATCGTACATATAATCATCTACATTGTGGCATAAATGCCGTGCTGCGTTTCTCTCCATAACTGCTTCTGTAAAATGGCACTTAAAATTGCATGTTAAACTGTAAAGTTTTATTATTGTACGCCGAACTAAAATCTGTTCATGGTATGCGATTTATAGGAAGGCGGGACGCATAACATGTTCTAATGTTCAACCAGCATTTACATTGGTATTCTACCGATGTTTGTCGAGATGCGAAATTGTATCACACGACTTATTTCATCCTCACAAGTACGCTATAGGCATCCAGCGTGCGTGAGTAATTCCTAGAGCGAGTACGAGATAGGTTATATATTATATTATATTATATATTATAAATTGCGTAATGGTAGGCTCTAAGACGGCATTAGCCCAGACTGACACTAGCCTCACTCACATTGACACACACACACACACACACACACACACACACACACACACACACACACACACACACAC